AATAGGGGAGCTGTAACCAATCTGTGGAGAATAGACTTCAGTTCCACTTAGGGGCAAAAGCATGAGCAGCAGGGCATGGTGACACATGCCTGGAATCCCAGGGCCTCTGCAGGAGGATCGAAAGTTTGAGGTCAGCCTCTGCAATTTAGAAATACTCTGTCTTAAAATTGAAAAATAAAAGGGGCTGGGTATGTAGCTGAGTGAATTCAATCCCCCAGTACCAAAACCAAACCAAACCAAACCAGCTTTATGAGCTTAAGCAATCCTCCTGCTGCAGTCTTCCAAGTAAGTAGCTGGGACTCCAGGTGCTCTGCACTTGGCTTGGCGTTATGGGACATTCTTGTAAAGGTAAAAGTATCAGGACAGAAAAAAGATCAGTGGTTCCTAGGGGCTATGGGCCTGGAAAAGATTTACTACTAGAGAGAAGAGGGAACTCTGGGGAGATGATGGAAACATTCTATACTTGTATATGTTGATGATACACAATAAAGTTGCATATTTATTTTAGTAAGAAAATAAAGCATATTTATTTATTTGTGGTAGTGTGGGAAGCCAACCTTACGGGTGACTGAGTTACACTCCCCAGCTGGGTGCTGAGGTGCTCAGTCACAGAAATGGGTGTGTCTTGCTACAGCCCCATGGGTGAAGCTACACTCACCTGTTCCTTTGTAATAGAACCCCTTGCCCTGTTTAGGATAGAATCTTCCATGGAAGTGCCTTGTGTGTCCCCTCCTCTTATTGTGCCCTTGGGTGTGGCCTACCCAGGGGTCAGTCAACCTGCTGACAGTGGACATCATGAAGATAGACTCAGCCCCCTGAAACCTGACCCCTTGCCTCATTTGAATAGCTTCTCCTCAATAAAAGGGGTCAGCGCATGCTCTCGCTCTCTCTCTTTCTGCAGACCCTTAAGGTCAGAGGAGCCGGCACAGCAACCCCAAAGAAAAAGGTATTTGTGTCTCTTGTGTGGTTATTTGGTGCAGCCCAGTTAGCCCAGTTTAACTAGAGTGACCCCTGAGCCTTTTAGTCGCGAGAACAGAAACCCGGCATGGTAGTAATGGGGATTGAACTGAATGCCAATCTCCCTTTGAGCTATACCCCCAGCCCTTCTTATATTTTTATTATTATACCTATTTTAATTTCATTTATGCATTTATTTATTGAGACAGAGCCTCAATAAGTTGCTAAGGCTGGCCTTGAACTTTCAATCCTCTTGCCTTAGCCTCTCAAGTAGCTGAGATTACAGGCATGTGCCACTGCACCTAGCAAGTATATTTTATTAATAAAATGGAAAATGTGTGTTAAAATTTGCACAATTTCCCATTAAAAGGGATGATTTTCACTGAATGTAAATTCTACCTTAATTTTTTTTTTTTTTTTTTTAGTACTGAGGATTGAACCCAGGGGTGCTTTACCACTGAGCTACATCCCTAACCCTTTTTATTTATTTTTTTGAACCAGGGTGGTCTTAAACTTGTGATCCTCCTGCTTCAGCTTCCCAAGTAGCTGAGATTATAGGTGTACCCCTTGAGCTGGGTGCAGTGGTACATGCCTGTAATCCCAGGAGCTTGGGAGGCTGAGGTAGGGAGATCATGAGTTCAAAGCCAGCCCCAGCAATTCAGTGAGGCCCTGAGCAACTCAGCAACAACCTGTCTCTAAATAAAAATAAAAAAGGGCTGGGGATGTGGGTCAGGGGTTAAGCGCCCCTGGGTTCCAATGCTGGTACCAAACAAAAGAAAACAAGGGAATACCTTAATTTTTTTTTAATGGAGAAAAAAATGTGCACGTATAATGTGGTGCAGATCAATGAATAATATCACTCCTTTTTTATTCAATAATTATTTATTTGCATCAGGCTTTGTGCTAGTCATAGGGGCATTGGGTGAAGAATTAAGACTGTCCTTAATCCACTGGCGTTAAGACTTGATCATACAAAGGAATGAAAGGGTTTAGGATCCTGAGCTTCAAGATCAGATATTTGGGGGGATGGGTGGAGGTCCTGGCTCCACCCCCACATCTACTGTGTGATCTTGGGCAATCGGCTTCACCTCTGACCTTACTTGTCATCTGAAAAATGGAAATAAGGAT